TGTGCACACAAAAGGAAGATTAATCATTGAATGTCGAGTATTTGAATAGCGTTTTGTGTAAACTAATTCATGCGTGATCAGCCAAGTGCGCGTGCGTGCGTGTGTGCGTGCGTGTGCGTGTGTGTATGTATATATATATATATATTTATTTATTTATTTATTTTTTCGGGAATTTTCAGAAAAGTCCACTTTCATCTCTGCCTATAGTGTACATGCATATATATAATTTTTTATTTTTTCCGGAATTTTCAGGAAAGTCCACTTTCATCTCTGATGATGCAACGTAATGAGGAACCGAAAATTTAAAATGCAAATGATTCCGAGAGAATCTGAATGTTAGTCCCATTCCAACCCATTCTTGAGATTGGATGTCCAATCCTAAAGCCGCTATCTATTTGACTCACACAAATGCCTCATGTATTACCAGCCAAAATGGCAGGTACGTTTTTATAAACACCCGCCAAAATGTATTTTAACCCACATTTAGAAGGTTGGAGGGTGTCAATTTAAAACCCTGTATCCGGTTACATTGAGACAATTGGTTAAACTAGTACAGTCAACTGCATAGCACTACGCTGTCGGTACGCAGTCCAGGTCTTAGCAAACCCTGTCTGGAAATGAAGGAAAACAACTTTAAAAAGTCTTCAGTGTCTTTGCTTTTGTTGAGTTAATGATATGGACTTATTGTACACTATTGTACTGCACTAATCCCCAAGAAATTATTTTTTTTAATACATTAAATCAATGGACGCAGCTGCCAATGCCATCTTGTCAAAGCCCCTAAATAGCTTGGCCATCCAATTTGTGATGTTAGACTTGATTACTCACTAATTGTTAATTAATACTGCTGTCTCAGATGCATCTGACAATTTCTCTTTCTTCTTTCCCTTTTTCTCTGTCAGGTTTTTACCATTTTTGCCTTTGCCACTACTGGAGGTTACTCTGGGACATCTCACTTCACAGTCAAATGTCCTAATTCTGCGGACCCAATCGATGTAAAGCCTGTGTTTGGATACCCATTCAGGTAGAAAATGTAAATCAATAAAAGTAATATGTATTTTGGGACTTGATACATATGCATGAAAGCATATGTATTGTTTGGGTTGGGAATCAGCATTGGTGTTTGGGCATAGCTATCAAACTCGAGGCCCGCGGGCGAGATCTGGTCCACCACATCATTTTATTTGACCCCGAAAGCAAATTATGTATATCTACTTTTTCTTGCAAAAATATAAAAATTGTCAATTGTTTTCCCTTCAACAAATGTTGAAGTCTTACAAACATTTTTTCTAAACCTATCCCCTTTTTGAATTCAATGTAATATCTGAGCAAACAGTTTTGACTGGACTCTGATATCAAAACTCGTTATTCATCTGTTTGTTGTGTATATGTAATATGAGGCAATCATACATTCATTTGGGGTTACGCTTCACGGTCCCAACAGCCCTCTGAAGGAAACCATAACTGCGTTGTGGCCTGCTATGAAAATGAGTTTGACATCCCTGGTGGGAATTGAAATCACCCGGTTTGTCATTACTCCTTTATCTCTAAATTCACAGGATTAAAAAGCTTAACTTGAATAAATGCTGCTGACAATGCTGAGTTTTATCCAGAAGGACGTGCCAGCATTTTGTTTCTCTAATAGTTGTGCTCCGAGTTCATGAATTGTATTAAGATTCAGATCAATGTCATTCACATTTCCACATCATCAGTTTGTTTTATTAGCCCATCAAACAAGGTTGGGAAGGAAGGAGGAGTTGACATGTGCTATATAATTCCAATTGAAAAGAAAGAAACCAACAAATAAACTCAAAAGCCACTTTCTGGCATCATCTCCTTTCCTGAAGTGCTTCCAAAGTCAATCTTGGAATTCTTAATGATAATCCTTGGCATTAGCTTTGTTTATTTAATGAAAGAAAATGTATCCCATTTTGTTGCACATCTGCCCTGCAATCAATTTGAGTGAATTTGTGTGAGTCTGCAAGTTAAAATATATTTGAAATTACATTTCTATACCCTGTTCTTGCTCTCCTGGACTAACAAGCAAGCCAGGTGAGGATGTTTATTTTATGATTACTGTCATGAATCATGCTCCAGAGTCACTGGGCTGACTGTAAAGTGTTTGTCTTTTCTCCTATTTCATTTAGGTTGTCAGCATACCCTTATGAGATTCCTTCATGTGATAGCAGTCCTTCAAATCACACCTTCCTCCAGGGAGACTTTTCCTCCTCTGCAGAGTTCTTTGTGTGTGTGGGTGTGTTTGGTTTTCTCTACTGCACCGCTACACTGATTCTCTACTTGGGTTACCAGCATGTCTATCGTCAGAACACCCGTGGTCCCTTCATCGTGAGTACTTCTTCGATATTCATAATATTCATATCCATTGGTTCAGAGAGATGATTTAAAAATAACTATATAAAATTCAGAGGCCATCCCATATGAAAAACCTTCACAGGTACTCTGCACATGCTAAAGCAAGGGGGCTGCTTTAGGGTGATTTTATCCAGTGAGAAGCCAAAGAATTAAGTTATTTCTGTAGGTGGTAAATACCAACCATACACAGTACAGATGCAGTAATAGACACTGCTTCCAAAAGGAAGGCCAGTTGTTAGGATACATTAGAGCGTCCGCCATATTGGATGTTTCAAATCTGCCTAAAGAAAGTAAATGGACTGGACTTTTTAACGCATATCATCACATATTATTTCACACTGTTTGTGTTAAATAACGTTCATGCAAAAATTAGAAAAAAAAAAAATTTCTGGCATCAGGCGCAAACTTCACAGATGAAAAACAAAGGAAACAAAAAAGCAAAACCTGCCTGTTTGTCTAACCTGCCTAAACATTGCATCATGATTTTCAACACTTGATGTTGGTCATTACTTTGTATTAATAACATACCCATGTTGGAACTGATCAAAAATATCAATTTGCAAAAAAAAAAAATAATAATAATAATGTAATTGACCAGTTTGTACTTGAGAGATTGCCAACCAAAACTAGCAATATTTTAGTTTGGTGCTTGACTAATACCTACAAAGTATCTTAAATATAAAAGCATTAAATAGTTGTTTTCACAAAATTAAAATTATGTACAAACACACACTAATATTTCTGAGAGACGGATGTGAGTAACGGACCATCCAACCTTAACACCACTCTGCCCTTCCATGAGCGAGGCAGAATAAGAAAACCTAAACTCCTCCCCGGCAGTTAAGTAGCCCCCTACTCTAGTGATTCCCTGTCACCTGTTTGCGATGATCACTCCTGTGATGGTTTAAAAACAGAGATCGCCTTTGTTGTTTTATTTTTCGTGCTCTTGTTGTTCTTCATCTACTTCTTTCCCTTCTTCCTATTCTTCTTCTTCCTCCTCCTCCTCCAGTTCCTGAATTGTAGATGTGACGTTTGAATAGAGTACAGCGGTAATGTTTATATTTCGCTGGTGATGATACTGTATACAGTGGGGTTTTTTTTGTTTTGTTTTTTAATATATCAAATGAACTACCGATAATGGCAATCAGTGGAGACAGAACAGCAGAAACTCTGAACCTTCTGACTGCAGTTTGACTTTCCCACCGCTTTCTCAGCGAGCAAAGAAAATCGCAATTTAGTTCATTTGGGGCCATTTAGTTGAATAGGAAAGAACTTTGTTTAGAAACTAGTTTCACTTCCCACATTCCAAGAATATGCATGCCAGGTTGATTGAGCACTCCAAATTGTCCCTAGCTGTGATTGTATGTGCAAATAGTTGTTTGTCTGTGTGCCCTGCGATTGGCTGGCCACCAGTTCAGGGTGTCCCCCGCCTACTGCCCAAGGGCAGCTGGGATAGGCTCCAGCAACCCCGTGACCCTTGTGAGGATAATTATATCAGATGAAGGATAAATGGATGGATGAATGGATGGATATTTGTGTTGCTTACCTTTCCCATAAGACTGTTGTTGATATGACACCTACAGTGGATTTCCTTGCAATTTCCGTTTAAATAAAAATGTTTAAAACATGTCAAAATACTGCTTTGTATAAAAAAAAAAAATGCTGATTAATTATTGTGGAGAATAATTTGAAATTTTTTTTAATGAAATTCTGAATAGAAAAATAAGCCTGTTTGCTGATAAATCGAAACTGTGCCTGGGCTTCGTAAAGTGCTCCCTATAATAAACCAACTGGTACCACTCCCTTTAGATTGCCTAGTTTAATTCAGCAAGGAGAAAAAATAACTAGGCTACCAGCAGAGTGTCATTTCAAAATATACCACCCATATTAACAGATGAAATTCGTTAGCTTAAAGAGAAAAGACAAACATGAATTTATACTGTGAGATCAGCGTGCCACCAATGCTTCTGTTTGCTTTCTACAAGGATCTGATGGTGACTGCTGCCTTCGCCTTTCTGTGGCTTGTGTCCTCATCAGCCTGGGGCAAAGGTCTGACAGACGTTAAATGGGCCACAAACCCAGGCCACTTGGTGGAGAATTGTGCACATTGTCAAGCAGGAGAATTTCCCTCCATGGGACGCCTAAATGCCTCAGTGGTGAGTCAAGTTAGGCTTTAACAGGTTTGTCGTTCCTAAGTTTTGAAAAAAAGAATCCCTGTCTCTCATTAAGAAAGCTTAACAGGCATATAATGTTCATGTACTCAAGCTTTAGAGTTTTATTAAGACACATTTCCACCAAGAGCTGTAGAAAAGTGATTGTACAAACCAATTTCTTATTTATTTGTTTATTTTTATATATACCCTTTGGAACATTTGATATTTAAGCAAGATTTGTATTGTATGCAGTGCCATCATCCAATGGTCAAACTGCAGTATCAAACTGTGCCACAGTATGTTTTTGTTTTTTGTTTTTTTCAGAGGTGCATTCATTTTCTGGTATCTTGTGCATTGATTTGAATACTGGACAGCTGTGTAAAAGGCAGCGTTTGGTTCACTTTTCTCGAACTAAATAGGCTGTCGTTGTTCTTTTAACTTTTTAGTTTAAAATTAAATAATGTTTTTATATCACATTTACATTATTTCTTTTTTTTTCTTTTTAATCTTGGAATCACTTTTTTCCATGTACCATTTCAAATTACCATCATCATAAATTTTTAAATCTACAGCAACTAATCCTTGCACTTGACTTAATTCAGTGCGATGATAAACAGTGCGCTGCCGTTCTGCCTGGGCCTCAACGCTAATTTCAAGTTAATTCACCTTGCTCTTCTTCGCATATTTCTTTACATTAATTTCACTCTACTCCTCTTTCTGTTTGACTTAAGAGTTAATATTAATAATTTGTTTGAATAAAGTTATATATAATTATATCAAATATATTGAAGGTGAATTTTCACCCAATTTTGGCACATCTTCTACCCTATGGCTCGCTTGGCATCTGCTTATCTTGCCTGATGGGTGAACTGGCTCTGCTGTAAAGTAGATTTTGGTTTTCAGGCAATCTATAAAACACAGAATACTTGTCGTTCGGTGTCTAAGTTCCCATCTATTCTCTTGTCTTTTCACAGATTTTTGGCTTTTTGAATCTGATCCTTTGGGCAGGAAACTGCTGGTTCATTTACAAGGAGACTTCGTTCCACAAGGATCCCAGCCCACCTGCCACCATGGAGGAAGGAGGGGCCCCTGGGCCTTAAGTTTGAGGCTGGCTCACTAGTTCCACTCAACAAAGGCAATCCTCCCAGTTTCGATTGAATTTTCATTTTCATATTATTCTCACTTGACTTCAAACTGCTGTTTTTTTTTGTTTTTTTTAAGAGAGCTTTTTTAAACACTGCACCCCTATATTATAAAACATGTGGGTTCTAAACTTGTTTTTTATGAAACAGCAGGCCCCATTTGCTTCTAGATTGCCTTCCCTTGATGTTTTCCTTTGACAAAATAAAATAGAAGTTTAAATGTAAGAATGTTTTGTTGGTCAAAAAAACAAATCTTAATTTGCGGTATGAGATTAATGAAAGATGTTTTTGTCCATTTGTCGACACAACAGAACATGCAGCCTGGATCATTTTCAGGAATATGTAACAATCAAAAGGTAGAAGAAATGTGAAAAAATAACAAATAACCAAACCAGGGTTAAAGCACTCCCATTTTTTTAATTGATCGTACAATGTTAATTCCAGTGAAGTTGGGATGTTGTATTAAACATAAATACAAACAGAACACAAGAATTTGCAAATCATGTTCAACCTATATTTAATTGGATACCCTACAAAGACAAGATATGTAATGTTTAAACTGATAAACTTTGTTTTTAGCAAATAATCATTCATTTAGAATTGTATGGCTGTAACATGCTCTGAAAAAAGCTGGGACAGGGTCATCTTTGTTTACCTCTGTGTTACATCACTTGATCTTTTAACAGCATTCAAGAAACGTTTAGAAACGGAGGCCACTAATTACTAAGCTTTGTTGGGAATCCTATCCCATTCTTGCTTGATGTACAGCTTCAGCTGTTTAACTGTCTGGGGTCTCCGTTGTTGTGTTTTAACCTTCAAAATGCGCCACACATTTTCAATTGGAGACAGGTCTGGATTGCACACAGGTACCTGCACTCTTTTACTGAGAGGCCTCACTTTTGTAATGCGTGCAGAATGTTGTTTGACATTGTCTTGCTGAAATAAGCGGGGACCTCAATGAAAGACGTTGCTTGGATAGCAGCATGTATTTGTTCAAAACCTGTATGTACCTTCCAGCATTAATGGTGCCTTCACAGATGTGTAAGTTACCCATGCCATTGGCACGAAAACAGCCCCTGACCATCCCAGATGCTGATTTATGAATGTTGAGTCCATAATAGTCCAGATAGGTCTTTGTCTCTTTGGCCCGGAGAACATGACATCCACAATTTCTAAAATTAATTCGAATTTTGGACTCATCAGACCACAGAACACTTTTCCACTTTGCATCAGTCCATCTTAGATGAGCTCAAGCCCAGGGAAGCAGGTATTTTCTAAAAACAATAAAGTTTATCAGTTTATAGATTGAATGTGATTTGCTGATCATTTTATTCAGGGTTTTTTTTTTTTAATCTTTAACACAATGTCCCATCTTGGTTGAAATTGGATTTGTATTAATCACATTATGCAACATGAATGCATCTAAAACTAGAAATATATCATATTTTCTCATCTGAAACATCTTAATAAAAACCACACCCATTACACCTGATAAAACCTAATGTTGTGTTTCAGGAACAAGTTCCAGAAAGTAACCTACTTTATGTAAATTGCATCAAGATACTGTGCGGATTCCAAAGCCTACTGCTAAAATGGTTAAAAATACTCTATCCTAAAGGTTAGATTATGTTGAAATGTCTTTTTTTTATTTTTTTAATCAAGGAACAGGACCAGACTGGGCTGGTTACTAAAACTACTGACAGTGCTTTATTGCGTTTCTGAACTGCCTTCAGGGCTTTCAGAGCAGGGAGTGACAGCCAAGCTGCCAGCTCCACAACCCCACATTTTAGTGAATTGAAAAGACACGTCTGAATTACTGATAGCTACGGGTGCTGCTGTTTCACCGTTTTTTGTTTTTTTTGGTCAATGTCACTGTTAATTGCAGACACTATTTTGCCAAAGTCCACTACAGAGCTTCTTTGCCCTTCAGGTGATAATGTCTAACTAATAACATAGGAAAAAAAGAATGTTAAATCAGGACTTGGAATGGCAGTTTTCAGCTTGGATCAGGATCAAGCTCCGCTGTCTCCATGTTTACAGGACTGCAGTGGAATAATTTAGAGTTTAGTTGAACAGTTTTACATTTAATCTGTTCAACAACGTTAAGATTTGTCTTTTGCCATAACTTTTAATGACCTTATTTGTATGCAAACCGCTTATTATTTTTGCCATTGCAATGTTTTAAATTAGGTTTCTGTTTTCATTTCCATCTTCACATTAGGGAAAGATGTCCAATGCGCAGCTTATCTTTATTACTGTACTTTGGTGTTCAACATGTTTTGCAACTGCATATCTGTTTGCTTGAGTGAGTAACAAGTGGCATAATACGTTTATTGTATGTGATCCTGCTGTTTTCCACACTGGCTTCCAACAATCATTTTACCATCTAATACCGTATGTGAACCCTGCCACCACAACTACCGCTTGAGTGCCTTGTACCTAATTAGGGTTCATTTAATAAATTCATGCGTGGGTCTGTCATTCATATATATATATATATATATCTCTCTCTCTCTCTCTCCTCGGGTGGTGTCTGTCCCACATTTAGCTCGGGTCCTCTACCAGAGGCCAGGAAGCTTGAGAGTTCTGCGCAGTATCCTGGCTGTTCCCGGAACTGCGCTTTTCTGGACTGAGATGTCCGTTGTTGTTCCCAGGATCTGTTGCAACCACTCATCCAATTTGGGGGTCACTGCCCCGAGTGCTCTGACCACCCCAGGCACTACTGTCACCTTTACCTTCCAGGCTCTCTCCAGCTCCTCTCTGAGCCCTTGGTATTTCTCCAGTTTCTCGTGTTCCTTCTTTCTGATGTTTCAATCACTTCGGACCGCTACATCCACTACAACGGCTTTCCTCTGCCCTTTATCTATGATCACGATATCCGGTTGGTTCGCCATTACCATCTTGTCAGTCTGTATCTGGAAGTCCCACAGGATCTTCGCTCGGTCATTCTCCACCACCTTTGGAGGTGTTTCCCATTTTGACCTTGGGGTTTCCAGTCCATACTCCGCACAGATGTTTCGGTAGACTATGCCAGCCACCTGGTTATGGTGTTCCATGTAAGCTTTCCCTGCCAGCATCTTACACCCTGCAGTTGTGTTGGATCGTCTCAGGTACCTCTATGCACAACCTACACCTTGGGTCTTGTCTGGTGTGGTGTATCTGGGCCTCTATGGCTCTGATGCTCAGGGCCTACTCCTATGGGCCTAAACCACCTCATTGGGGAAAATACCCCAAATGTCACATTTCCCCAGAGGAGTCTGACTGTTAATTCAAGAGTTGAGTTATACACCACTGTTTGATTGACACCCATGTTTCAAGCATGGTTGAGACAAGATGCCTGTGCTTAACCACTTACATGGATTAGCACAGGCCAAGTTGTGTTCACATGTAGTAGCCCGTGACTTCTGTTCACCATGAAAGAACTCACACAGTCATTTGTTTAGTCAGAAACAGTAGTTAGTCCAGTGAAGGAAAAAGATTATTACTCAGATATCACATAACAATAACTGCCTTGTTTATTTTGAATCACCTAAACAAAAAAAGGTTTATGCATGTCATGGTTTATGTTCCACAGTCATGGAGTAAACAGGCGATTCTAGTAAGTCCTTGAAGGCCTAGTGTTGCTGTGATGTTTAATCCTTATGAAAATTTGTATATCTATGCATGTCTGTTGAAGAGACTTTAAATTCATTGTTCCCCATGCTTTGTAGAATATTAAAAATATAAAATACAGTGCTTCTTTTTTCTTTTGTACAGTGCTTCATTTTTATTTTTAGACCACCTCTCCCTATTTGAATCAGAGACCATCCAGCATCATGAAGTGAGTCCATGCTGACTGTTTGTTTTCAATGAGCGCTCAATATTTTCACCATTTTGAACAGGAATGGTGCATTTTACACTGAATTGGCCTTTGTATGCTAACATTTTAGATGGCTCACTGTGCTTGCTTGAGGAGTCTCTAGCTATGTGTGTGTTTCTTATCTTGATTTTGTGTTCTACTGAAGACACGACAGCCTTGAAGACTGAGGGAAGTGGCAGACGTAGGTATGTATAAGCAGATGTTGTTGGGTACTTTGGGCACCAAATTTTAAGACTCCATTGTCAGATGCACACAGCACTCAGCTCGGAACAGGAAGCATTCCAGTAACTTTTTTTTTTTTTATCTTCACAGAATCATAGAAGGCCGTGGCGTGTTATGTTAAAATCTCAAAGGAGAAATGCCCATGTAACATTTCTACACATTAACTGTCACTGGTTGTTTTACTTACGTATCCGAAAAAAACGCGCACGCGACAAGTTCCTAGCTTGTCGCGTGCGCGACTTATGACGTAAGCAGTTTGCCGCGCAGTGATGATGGCGGTGCGTGAACGCGCAGTGAAAGTAATGGCTGCTCTCGATCGGCGGGTGCCTAGCTTCGATGATTTCGTGGGTCAAAGTTGGACTGCTTGGACCGAGTGGTCCGGTGTGACAGCACCTGATGGTAAGAGAACGTAATGATGCCACATCTGGCTGCTACGAATCAGTTTCATAAAAAAACCCGAGGGTTTATTTTCGTGTAAACGTAGGGAAGAGCTAGCCATGTTACCCAAACAAAGACCCTGCCGGGTCCTAGCGCTGGATGGGTAACATGTTGCTCTACACTGGGTCCATCTGCATATGTTGTCAGGAAAAAAAAAGGACCGGGGTAAATAATATGGGTCCATTGTAGTTTGTATAATAGTGTTGGAGCTGTGTTAAAAGTCATGTAGCCTGTGTTTGTCGGATGTGGCCAAATTTGATGAACTGAGCCGGGCAGCGGTGACATCAGACCAGAATGAAGCTAGTATGGCAGGCTGTGCGTGCAACTTCTTGCCGTGAAAAGCTAGGCTAGGTTGCTAACAAGCCAGACAGAATTCGTTGACGGCAGGATAGTTAGTTAGCGTTAGCGTGCCAGCTAAGTGGCCGGGTGATTCTGAGCATAGACACCGGTGACAGAGGAGGAGTCTGATGCTGTTACCACCATGTAAACGATGGCCCAAGCTTTGCCATATTTAAACGCCACTCTTGGTTTTTTTCGCCTTATTCGAATACTTGACCCCGATTTCCTTTGCGAGTCCCGTCCACCGCCAATGTACTGACGTTGACTATGTTTGTGTGCCCGAGGCAGTCAACTGTGATAGTTCCTTTCCAAAATAGTTGGCTTTTTCCAGCTTTCAGTTTTTTTGCGCTCACCCATTGTTTGGTATCCATGCAGCTGCAAGTCTGCTCCCAACTCACAAATAAAGTCTGCCTAGACAGCTTCTGACCATTAATACACTTTCCTTACTTCTAACTACGCTAATACATTGAACTTGATGCTGCCACCACCACCTTAAATGTCCAAACAGTTTACCTATACAGCCGTTTGTTCAACATAGCTCAAGGGCCTTCTTAGCGTTCGTGCAAAACAATATTTTAGCTTTTAGTTCAACTCGCTTTCCAATAACCCACAGTGCAACTTCATATGAATGCCACACTTCTCGGAGATGGACAAGCATAATGAAAATGTTTGATTGTTTGTTTTAATGTATGCTGTTTTAGGAGCTGGTGTGGATGACTGCAATAAAAATGGCAAAAAGGCTGCAGAGGCAATGTCACTCAGCAGGGAGGGTAGGTCGAGCATCCGTTATGAACTTTTGAAAACAACCCATTGCTGGTATTTTTGTTTTCTGTCATGTTTTTATTGCAGCAGCTTTGTGACAAGATGCCTCTATTTATAATGTTGATGATAAGATTATCTGCAGTGTAGGTTTCTGTGATTCCCCACCTTCTGTATTTTAATTATATAATTATAATGCACATTCTTGACAAAATCTAGCAGTTCTGACCATACATGGTGTAATGAAAAACAGGCATTGGAAATTACATGGCACATGGTCACCACAGCATAAATCTACCTTCCAGTTAGATATCATCAAATGTATTTTGTATTCATGCACATACTCCCACAAAATTAATGTTGTGATACTTCACCATTGGTCAAATAGTCTGTTCCACGTCACTGGTCAAGCTTCACCTTGTTTTGATTTCACATAATTTTTCACATCAGAAAATATTTCTCAATCATGCTTTTAATTGTACTCTACAAAGGTAAAAATGAGTTAACCACTGTTCACATTGACATGTACAAACACTCTGTCTCGACCTAATTGAAATTGATCATGCATGCTTTTTAAATAAGAAAAACCTTTGGACTTAATGTGAGGTGGCAACTAGGTACACTGATGTCTCCCAACATGCTGATGTTTCTTGTGATATCACACATTACGTGCATTGCAAAAATTCTTGAGCCAAATAAAAAGACAAGCTCAATTAATTATTTCTATACTTTGAGAACTCACAAGCTCTGCTGAGCTCTCGCTTTATATTCTGTTCTACATGTACAAGTTCCTCCCCGGGACACAAACTTGCTAAATTATGCTGTGTGTTCCAACATATATTTCGCACAAAGGCATAAAGACACGAATTTATTCAATTTATTGAGGATAGAAAGCATGTATTTATTTTATGTAGTATTTTTAGTCATTATTTGAAGTCCTCATGGTAATCGTCTTTGATTAAATAGAAGCACATTTGCCATGTTTGTCACTGAACAGTCCTCTCGGTTCTTTTAACAGACATGTCAATCTTTGGTCTGTACCCTGGCTATGACGACTTCTACCTTGTGGTGTGTAGCCACTGTGGTCAAGTAGTGAAGCCACAGGCATTCGAGAAGCACTGCGAAAGGAGACATGGTCCTCTGGCCAAACTTTATGCCCGAATACGTTCTCCGGCTCCCCAACCCCAGCAGAGGACCCATCACAGCCATTCTCCTTCTCAGGGGACCAATTCCATTCCCGCTTCAGCATGGGATGGTCGAGGCCAAGGCAGCGGGTCAGTAAAACCGCCCCCACAAGCCCCTTCGACACCACCTCAGCACAGACCCCCCAAAAACACAAAGGAAGGAGTAAGGTAAGAATGGGGTGGGTTGTTCGGGGGTAATCAGTGATTTGATGTATTTGTATTACTGTACATTCAAATGCATGCTTGGGTTCATTCTTATGTTTAAAGGTGAAGTTCCGATTCAGTTCCACATTCACCTTATGGGCCTCATTGAGTGCAGCTTGGTCAAGTCCTTCCACAGTGACTAAAGCCCCATTTCCAGTTCCTGTTTTGGGTTTAGTCTGAACAGTTGGCTTTGTCGTTTAAAGAGCCTGCATCGTGCAGAATCAACTTTTTTCAGCTTTTACTCAGATTAAAATGCTAATTCCCCACCAAAAATACCCCCAGAGTTGGTGAGTCTGTCTCCCCTCATTCAGCCATTTCTGAGCATTCCTGTTCATACCTGCATTAGCTCCACCCAATCCAAGAAAACGACCGGGTCCTCAATCTTATACGTAGAAGATTGAGTGAGCCACACAAGCACCATCCCTGCAAACTGAACACACACCCATTTTCTCTGAGCAGGCAGTGGGAGGCCTGACGAGTATATCTCGGAAAGAGGCATTATTAGCGGCCACCTCAGGAAGAGCTAATAGGCTGGAGTACAGAGCACCTAATGTGACATGTTTTATCATGGAAGGAGAGAACTTTATGGACACTTTCAGTCAGTCATGTATGTGATGATGACAAACCCAAATAACAACAATGGTACCTGCACTTCATACACACATTTGAACAAAATAGATGTACAGTGGTACCTCTACTTCCGGATGTCTCTTCATACGAAATTTTCAAGTTACGAAATGCGTCAATGGGAAAATATTGTTGTTATGAAAGAAATTTCAAGATACGAAAGGTAAAAATACAGTATGGGCTGCTGTTCGCAGCTCCGAGTTTCCTGAATGCAACATACTGAAAGCTGCTCTGCCAATGGCTATTACCGAGCATCATCCTGGTGTCCCATTGGCTAAGAAGGACCTCTACCGGATGTGTCTATGTGTGCGGATAGATATGCGTGTATGCAGCATCCTCGTCATTCACCCCTCGGGCCATGAGGTGTTCTGATAGTTTTACGTAAATGTGAATCACCCAAAAAAGTGTTCACCCGTCGGGCGATCGCTCACTATGCTGATGTTTGCCTTGGACATTTTCGAAGGATTGTTAAAAGCCAACAAAAGCAAACGTCCTTGGATCAGTTCTTTACAAAACGGCAGGCAAAAATTACTTCGAAGAGAGAACATGGACAAAAGAGGTAAAAAAAAACTATGAGGACGCAGTTACGTTAAATGACCATCATTTTTATTCGTTACTCTAGTCCAGGGGTGTCGAACTCATTTTTGTCATGGGCCACATTTTAATTACCGTTTCCCTTGGAGGGCCGTTATGACTGAAACCATAAAAAGAAGTCAAGAAAAACTGTTCACTCCACTCTTGTTTAAGTTACTGTCAGGACGGGTTTGGTTACAAGAAAATGCTTACAATATCCTTCTTATTTATTACAGATCAGAATTTGAAATTTTGGTACAGATTTTAGCTAGCATCATGGAAGTTCACATGTTTGATTTGCTTTTGCGGGCCACGTAAAATGAGGTGGCAGGCCAGATCTGGCGGTTGATCCATAGCGCCGGTAACCATGTACAGTAGCCGTCCATGCAAATGAATTCAACCAGGAACACCCAAGTTACAGAGCATTTAACTTACCTGTGCAGCCCTACCCAGTTATTATTATGTACATAGAAATATTGTAATGCTCGGTTATCTCTCATTAGTAGACATTCCCCACTGGAAAAATCATCCCATGGCAGCCACACAGATTCATCAGTATTCAAGCAGCCGCCACCTCTGGAGCCTCCGATTAGCTCACCACCCTCAATCCTCAGAGACCCCCCATGGCCACACGGAGGCACCCCACCTGCTCGGCCTTCACCCACTGAAAGGTCCCCAACCCAAAGGAAGGATTCTTCTCCAGGCTCTGTGGTCCAAAGCCACCGTATTCCCAAGCCATATAACAAAGTGGCCTCCAGTAAGTGCAGGGGATCTTGGGGTCTTGTAAAAAAGTTCGATTTTGAAGGATATATTGTTATTTTCGAGTTTGTTTGTGTCAATATAACAATTGAATCGTATTTTATGATGAAATATGTTCATTGTTGCTTTGAATGTGACGTTAAACATGAATGGTTTTGTCTTCCCAGAAAGAGAGTGTGACTTGGACAAACACTGTGGTGTCCTCGATCCTGACAGGAAGAAAGTCTGCACTCGCCTCTTGACATGCAATGTAAGCTCCAAACCTTGATGCAGTCACTCATTTTTATTTTTAGTTTTTCCCTTCTGATTATCACCTAGTGTCTGTACCCCACATAAGAAAAGTTGTTTCATCTCAGACAACCCTCAAATGTATTGTTGGTAAAATGGTGGTGATTAATTCACAAGTTTTGTGTAAATTTATCCCCATCAAATGTTGAGATATTTGAATAAAAAAAGCTACAATAACCCATCCAGAGAGGTCGGATGGCTTCTAGCACAGCAAGGATAGTTCATCTGGAAATTGGTGTGTGTGAAGCCGGAAGTGCCTGTGAGGCCGCATCAGTCTAGTTCAGGGGTAGGGAACTCCAGTTCCTCGAGAGCCATATCCTGCCTGTTTTAGGTCCTTCCCTAATCCAACACACCTGATTCAATTGTTCAGGCCTTGACAGAGCTTGCTGATGAGTTGATCATTTGAATCAGGTGTGTTGGAGTAGGGAGGGACCTAAAACAGGCAGGATATGGCTCTCGAGGAACCGGAGTTCCCTACCCCTGGTCTAGTTGATAGGATGACCTGTTTAACAGGAAATGGAATGGGTGATTGGAGAGAGACACAGGAAATGATTCTAATTTTAAACCTGTTCTGAATGCATAAGGTCTTTTTCCTGTTTTTTTTTTGTTTTGTTTTTTTTTTTTACTTCTTCCTCAAAAGGAAACATAGGATTCAACAGTATACGTGAGCTATGCTTCTTGAGTTTGATGATATAGCTGTTCAAAACACAATGTCCAACACAATTTGTATTGGATTTTGTTTCCCCCCCCAATCTTTCTAAAATAAATTCTTAACCCTTTTTAGGGTAGTTATTTAAATACTTTGAAAACTTCAGTACAGGTTTTCTGAATATTAAATTGTAATTTAAAAAAATGTTAAAAAGTGACTTAGTACATATCCTCTTCTTCAGATCCATTCCATCCACCAGCGTAGGAAGGTGTTGGGTCGCAGTAAGAAGTTTGACCAGTTAGTGGCTGAACTCAAGACGAAGGTTCGTGAGAAGGGGGCACAATCGCTGGAGGGAGGTTCCTCTTCTGGACGGTCCCCCAGCCCAGAGGCACTCAGAGAACAAGATGGTGCTCCACACTGCCGGAGATTTTTGGCCAGCCTCCCTGCCTTCAGGTTAGCTTTGCTAAAACAAGCAAAGAATGCATTGTACTCGAGCTTGGCGCTAATTCAAGATCAATATGTATCGGGATAGGCACGTGATCAGTATCAATAGAAAATGCATTCGATAAAATGTTGGAGAGAAAAAAAAATCATCACGCCGACCCTGATTATTGAGAATGTTGAAGGCAGTGCGCGGGCAACCTTCTGCACATGCGCCACAGATAATGCAAGGGCCGCAAATAGTACAAATAATGGCACCATAGCTGACATCGACTGGAAGCCCAAGCCCAAGGATTTACTCTACTGACTATTTCGCTGAGGTTTCAATATGATTTTAAGCAACAACATTGCCAGACCAACAACCGGTGTCACCATGTTTGAATGAAACAGGTGTGGTACCTACATCACTCACATATATTTTTACCACAACCATCACTTTTTCATCGACAGGTACATATGAAATCATAAATATGGTGACGTATTGTTGTAAAAGACAAAATGTGTATTCTCCATGCTATTTTTCTAGCGCTTGGCGGTGGTGACAGACATCTGTGTTCCCGTGCTCGCTTAACACGCAAATGGATCTTTCAACTGTGTGAAAGCCTTGCGTTTTGATTGCCGATAAATCTGCGACATTGCCACGTCGTATAGTTGCGATTCAAAAGCAGTGGCCAAATCACTGCCACTTGTGAAATCTCAGAACCCCACACACAACTAGGGTTGCGGTAGCCCTATGGCATTGCCACTGTACATAACACATCTTTAGATAAGTCACATTTGCAAATAGTGGCCAAATGTTGTTGTTGGTTTTTGTTTGTTTTTTCAAATAAAAGCTGGTACTACATGAGCTCACCTTGTCGTTACAGTCGCTCCACGGCTAATTCAGAGGGCACCCCAGATAATGATGGGCAGTTGCAGGATGAGGGAAGCCTCAGAGTTCCATCCCCTCTTGTCCATGGAACAATTTCCAGTGATGAAAGTGAAACCGAAGGAGCAGAGGACCCTGTTGAGTTCCCATCTTCTGCTGCGCACCCAAGACCAATAGCAGTGAGCATTTGTTTTTTTAGATTAATGACGTTGAGAAAAGAAACCAAGGACTTCACATCAATGTATAGTATTGTTTTGCCTCATACAACTGTTTCATTTGTGTTCAGCCAATGTATTTCAAATCACATTATACACTATGATGCCAAAAGTATTGACTCCTGTGCCTTTAGTTCTGTATGAATATCAATGACACCACAGTCTTAATCAATATGGTCTAATTTTACAGTTTAGAATAGGTCAAAAATTCCCATAAACACACTCCTAAACCCTTTCTGAAATATTTCCCCAGAAAAGTTGAAGCTGTTGTGAGACACACACACACACACACACACACACACACACACACACACACACCAGCCCACCACACCCCTGTTTTTCAGGGAATATGCATACTGAATGTTTATCAGTTTTTTAAAGAATATTTGGGGTTTAAAAAAAAAAGAGAGAGAGACAGAGAGAAAATCAGGGTGGGGAAGGGGGTGTTGGGGCACTTCCCTCAGCTCTTTGCAGGCCGGCCTGATCCCTAGCCCACGTGAGTCGTGCGGGTCCTCTGTATAGTGTTTTTACGCATGCCAAAAATATGGACCTGCCCCCATAATTTGTTACTTGTATATTGCGTTGGACAGGGAAATTTTCCCATAGGGGAAAAAAGTACATTCTCTATTCTTGTCAAACAAGAACATACATAACAGTCCATTTTGACATTCGAGAATAATTTACGGTAAATAACAAAACAGTAAACTGATGACAAATTCATACATATTGATAACATAAAGAAAAACATTTTTTGAACAAAATCCAAGATAAGAAAAATCATCACACTGTCTTGAGTTTTTCAATCTTGTTTTTAGTGTAAAATACAGCTTGCCTGTGGTTAAAAGAGAAAATACCAGGACATATTACTCATGACTATCTTGAGTGATACGCTGTTGCTTGAAAATGTTTGGTTTATTTCAGTGTACATGTTGATTTTCAGAAGTAAAGACCAAAATTGTTGCTATGAAACGATGCCAATTTTACATAAATATGTATCTGCTCTCTCCAGATGTGTTCATTTGGTGGTATTGTGTTGGGCCATGGCATCTACACTTTTGACAGAAGGCTTCACCACCTGAGGTCGGCTTTTAGCAGCATGCTGGAGCAGCACATTAGCGCCCATCTTTGGAAGTAAGTTGGATCAATGTTAACTACTTTATATGTTTCCTATTTTCAGGACGGAATACATCGATATTTTTTTAGTATTTTTATTTGATTTTTGCCAATGATGGCCCAGTGATCCAGTGGTTAGCACGTCGACCTCACAGTGCAGAGATACCGGGTTCAATTCCAGCTCCGGCCTCCCTGTGTGGAGTTTGCATGTTCTCCTCGGGCCTGCGTGGGTTTTCTCCGGGTACTTCGGTTTCCTCCCACATTCCAAGAACATGCATGGCAGGCTGATTGAACACTCTAAATTGTGAGTGTGAGCGTGAATGGTTGTTTGTCCCTGTCTGCCCTGCGATTGGCTGGCAACCGGTTCAGGGTGTCCCCCGCCTACTGCCCAAAGACGGCTGGGATAGGCTCCGGCACCCCCTGCAACCCTTGTGAGGATAAAGCGGATCAGAAAATGAATCAATGAATGAATGAATGTTTTGCCAATGATAACTTCCGAGTGCTGGTGGCCAGTTCTGGATGTATGCCACCTCTCACCCCAAATCAGCAGGAAAAGGCTGCAGCTCACCCTCGACCTTAAAGAGAACGAGCGCGATAGAAAATGGTTAGATTTTGCAGATTGAGCTGCTTCATAGGAACTTCTTGTTGATCTAATACAGAATCTTGGGGTTTTCCTGCTGCCCGCTTAGTAGTTTGTTTTCCTGAAATGTCGGGCAATATAAATAATTGTCCTGCAATTTCAAAACATAATCCAATACTTCTTTCACATACTTTGACCCCTGCGGTTTAAATAGTGAAATGGCTAATTTATTCATTTTTACTCGCTAACAAACTTGATATTTTTCTTTATTTTCATCCCTTTGTCCTCGGTTCTGCACATTCCTGAGAACATAGAGGTGTCCTAATTGTCAAAGGGCTTGTCCCTACCATCACAAAGCAGCGATAGCGCTGAGGTTTAATATGCCCGTGAGCGAGCAAGATGCAACCTAACGTGAGACCAAGCCCTTTTTTGTGATGTCACGAAAACGAAAAAGAAAAAAAAACGCGTGGATATGGGCTGACCAGCTCCAATGTTTACTGTGTGTGTCCCAGAGAGACATACACCAAAATTTATTTGATTAATTTATGTTTTTTATTACGGTGACCAGCTGTGAATATCGCTGAGTGAATATGTGCGTTAACAGTAGCCAATCAGAGTCCAGCTTTTTCTTCTCTACTTTGGTTTGCAAGTTGAAGACGTAAACAAAAAGTAAAAGAAACAAGAAGGAAACAGTGTCTGAACCTGCAGTTAAATGCGCAGCGAGTGGACAGGAGAAAATCAGTGGCAAAAAGATGAGAACTGCTGAATATATGCATTCATATTTTTATATTTATATATACCGTATATGTAGCTCTCTATATATAGATATATAGATATATATATCTATATATCTATATATCTATATATATATATATGTATGTATGCATACATATATATATATGCTGTGTATATATATTGTGTGTGTGTGTGTGTGTGTGTACAGTTACATGAAAAAGTATGTGCACACTTTGGAATTACCTGGATTTCTGCATAAATTGGTCATAAAATATCTTCTGATCGTCACAAAAATAGGCAAAACACAGTCTGCTTCTACTACTACCACACCAAAAATTATGTTCTCGTTTTTTTATTTTTTATTTTTTTTAATTGAACACCATGTAAACATTCACAGTGCAGGATGAAAAAAGTATATGACCCCTGAGGCTAATGAGCTAATTGGAGTCAGAAGTCAGCAACCTAGAGTCCAATCAATGAAACGAGATTGAAGGTGTTGGGTAAAGCTGCTCTGTCCTATAAAAACACACCAGTTCGGAGTTTATTCTTAAAACGCATTGTCTGATGGAAACCATTCCTCGCACAAAAAAGCTTTCAGAAAGACCTTCAATTAAGGATCGTTGACATGCATAAAGCTGGAAAGAGTTAAAAGAGTATCTCTAAAAGCCTTGATGTGCGTCAATCCATGGTGAGACAAATTGTCTATGAATGGAGAAGGTTCAGCAGCGGCCGTCCTGTGAAGATAACTGCAGGAGCACAGCGCAGAATGCTCAGAGAATTGAAGAAGAATCCTAGAGTCAAGTCGAATACAACTTTATTGTCAAATGCGCTGTATGTGCAACATACAGCAAGATGAAATTTCCTCCCTCTCAACCAGACAACAAGACAACTAGAGGAGCCGCTGCAGGTGCCTGCGCCGCCATCATAAGAACAGTTAACATAAAATGACAAAATAATACAACACAACACATAAGACACAGACAGTCGTGCAATCCCAACCACTTTTCCTAAAAACACTTTATTTGAAGCAGTTATAGATGAAAGCTAAGTTTGTCAAGCTCAGAGTGTCAGCTAAAGACTTCCAAAAATCTCAAGAATGGAGTTCATGGGGGAGGACACCACGGAGGAAGCCACTGCTGTCCCAAAAAACATTGCTGTACATTTGAAGTTAGCAAAAGATCACCTAGATGTTCCACAGCATTACTGGCAAAATATTCTGTGCACAGATGAAACCAAAGTTTAGTTGTTTGGAAGGAACGCACAACACTGTGTCGAGAAAAAATGGGCACAGGACACCAACATCAAAACCTCATCCCAACTGTCAAGTATGGTGGATTGGGCATCATGGTTTGGGGATTCTTTGCGAACTCGGGGCTTCGACAGATTGCTATCATTAAAGGAAAAATGAATCCCCAAGTTTAGCAAGACATTTTGCAGAAGAACTTAGGTCCATCTGTCCACCAAATGAAGCTCACCAGAAGATGGTTGATGAAACAGGACAATGGACCCAAAGCACAGAAGTAAATCAACAACAGCATGGCTTCAACAGAAGAAAATACGCCTTCTCGAGTGGCCCAATCAGAGTCCTGGCCCCAACATTGCTGAACTGATACAGTTGTGGAAAGAATAATGGCCCAAAATCCCTCCTGACCATTGTGCAGGTCTGATATGCAACGACAGGAAACGTTTGGTTGAGGTTATTGCTGCCAGAGGAGGGTCAACCAGTTATTAAATTCAGGGGTTCACATACTTTTTCTTGTCTGTGTGTGTGTGTGTGTGTGTGTGTGCGTGCGTGCGTGCGCGTGTGTACGTGTGTACCCACAAAAAGGTTAGATATTTGGCCTTTAGGTGAACTTTCAGGATGTGCCTAAAAAGCATTCAAACCTTTACAGGTGAACAAAATGTGACCTTATCCAAGCTTTTGAATGCACCTATCCTACTGTTCAATGTTTCGGTACTTTTTGCACAAGTTGCTTTTCTCTAATGAGGAGCTTAATGGTGAAAATTCACAAGAGGTGTTTGATCCGTGAATCGACCAATAAATGTCCTGGTTTGATTAGAGCCGGTGTTTTAAACAGTCGTCCTCATCATGCTGTTCACATTTTGACATCATCAGACCACGACGACACCTAACAGTGGATCAACAGTACCTTGCCATTGTGATGCTTCAAACAGAACATTCTCAGACGAAGTGGCCACTGAGCTTAGTGTCACAGACCATCATCAGTTGCAACAGAGAGACAGAGGGACTGGAAGAGTCACAGAAAGATGTAGAAGTGGACATACTTTGATCACATGTCATGCTGATGACAGCAACATTGTCAACAGTGCCCTGAGAAACCGGATGATGAATGCCACTCATCTCCAGGCACGGTTCAGGAAGGTGAGAGGCACCCAAGTGTGATGTCAGACCGTTCGAAACCATTTCCATCAGTGTGGTCTGCGTGATAGATGACCTGCAAGGGTACCTGACCACACCACCAGGCATAGGTGTCATTGTCTTACATGGACCAGGGAGCATTTAAGATGGATGAGGAACCAGTGGGCCTCACTGCTGTTCTCTCATGAAAGTCAATTCACGTTGAGCAAGAATTATTGCTGCCAACCAAGTTGGAGACGTCAAGGAGAGCGCGATGCATCAGCCACTGTTGTCACCAGATGAGCTTTTGTTGGTGGCGGTGTTACAGTGTGGGCACATGTGCCCATTTGGTTCAGAACTGCCTGACACTTTGTGAATGGTACAGTGACAAGGCCATACTACCTGAATAACATGATTGATCCAGTGATTGTGCCCCTACATGAACAACACGGGCCAAATTTCATTATCATGGACAACAATGGTCCAGCTCATCGAGATTGCATCATCAGGGAACGGTTGTTGGAGACTGGTGTACCCCTGAAATGGAATGGCCTGCACTTTCTCCAGACCCGAATCCTATTGAAAACCTGTGAGATCAGTTGAGTCGCCGTGTAGAGGCTCGATACTCTGCACCCCAGAACCTCAATGACCTCAGCTGCCCTTCAAGAAGAGTGGGATGCGGTGCCTCAGCAGATAATAAGTCGACTTGTGAACAGCATGTCATTATCAAGATGTAATTGATGCGCAGGGCAAATGACAAGTTGAGACATTAATTTTTTTTTTTTTGCGGTGTACCCAACATTGTTAACTTTTGTTTCAATGAATTTTTTAAGATGAAGAAATCACCAGTGCATCTTTTTGCCAAAATGTCCTACTTTCATGATATATCACTGTCGCGTGAACTTTTCACATTTTCCATAAATTTCACCTGGAAGCCAGATATCTCTAACTTTTTGGGAGTAGTGTGTATGTACACTGAATACATATTTCCGAATCATTCAAAATATTTGGAGTAACAGTGTTGATCATTTTTTTAATTTTAAGAGAATCCCATTTTAAACACAAAGTGGTGATGGTCATAGTTGAGCAGTAACACTCTTGTGCTCCTCAATTACGCGTTCAAGTTGATGGGTGCAAGTGTATAGTATCCCCCAGTTATCCAAAGTGCTGTGTTGCCTTGCCCGTTTGGGCCCTTGTTCCACACTTTGAGCCCGCATTCATGGGTCCTTAGCCAAAGCGTATTACTCACAATTACGGATTTGACCAGATTAGCAGGGAAATGAGTAACATTTTCTTATGTTTTTTTCCTTTTAATCAGAGATGCCAGTAAACAAAAAATGAACCTATCTCAAAAACCTGACGTGCTAGAAAAAAAATAGACACTTTTAAAATCTGTGTAAAAAATATATATATTGGGGCACACAAAACTGTCTCTCACTGGAATTTGCTGTTGACCAATTTATTCATCCATATTTGGAAAATTGTTCTCACGTTCACTGAGAAAGTAATTAAAAGCTTATTATATTCTTTTAACTCAGGAAAATACCTCAAGCTACCAACCACCAGTGTCCAGCTCCCTCAGCCAAGATTGTTCCCTCGTCGTCTCCCACCTCAATAAGCTGTGCATCCTCCACTAAAGTACGATCGGCTGGTCATATGAAGGCCTCCCTCAAAACTGTGTCGTCGTGCTCTTCTTCCAGTCGTGGGCCGGGGAGACACTCAGCAACCATACCATCAGAGAACACCGGGCGCAGTGGTGGTGACATAGGAGGCAGTCACGTGCCGTCTCCAGGTAATACTGTGGGCATGCATCACGCAGGTCTGGGACGGCCCAAGAACCCAGTCGGGCGTCCCAGCAAGCAGATGCTGAGATTGCGAGAAGACGCGGCGACGGCTGCTGCCGTCCGCAAACGAAAAGCCCCGTCCCAGGAAGGGGAGCATTCAGGCCCTAACAGGAACTGCATTTCCTTACAAGACCGGGGCCGCCCGCCCTCCATAGCCTCTTCCCACTTTGCCACCCCGAAAGCGCCCATTCTCTCACCTCTTTCCCACGGACAGACCAATGGCACGCTCTCACCAGGGAGCAAACCCCGCCCACAGCCCTCTCCAACAGAATCACACTCACCGGCTGCAAAGACAGTCTGGACCTACAGACGAACTCATCCTACGTTGGCTCATTCATCACTCACAGAGACTTCTTCCAGTAACAATTCCTACTGTCGGAATACTGTCGGGGACTCAGGACTGCTTGGGCAGGGCAGTGGGCGGGCATTCGAGCACCAGGGTTTGATCAAAAAACGTAAAGGGGTTGGCCTTGAGGAGCACTCGCCCTCAGCACACCGCCTGCTCCCCTCCTCCTCCTCTTCGTCTTCCTCCTCATCCACTCCTGACTCCTCTTCTCCTCGCTCAAACTTTTACCCATGGAAGGACAGTAAGAGTGGAGGCCTGGCTGGGGGCATGGAGAAGAAGCTGGCCACCCAAAAGGTAAATAAGCTGTCGACAGATCTTATCGTGTGAATATGGTGCAATCATCAAAACAACACCCATATCACTTTTGTATGATCCATAGCATAACAAATCATGTCATGTTTTTCCAATATCATTCCAATACATTGCGTTTGTGTGGACTGTTGTAAATTTAAATTGGGTTTGGCGCACTCTAGCGTTCAAATTGGAAATACAATATAGATCATTCCAAATTCAAATTGGAGGAATTCTTCCTGTGGGTGTGGGTGTGGGTTGGTTGCGTGGGTGGGTGCGCGCGCGCACACACATCCATTATATATATATATATATATAATCTGTATGTATATGTACATACAATATATATGTGTGTGAAGGCTGCATTATTTTTTTTTTTGACGAAGTTATGCTTTTCATATCGTAACATGACGATGATGTCTTGGCAATTTTCATATCACCGGCATCATTACATCCCTACACATGTGAAATTCGGAACACTACTATTGTCGTCAAAGTGATCGGAATTAATTTTTTTTTAATTGTTTTTCTTGCCCCACAGCCAAAACTGCACCATTAATTGTGCCTGCCTTCAAGTCACAAGAGGGAGCCAGCTTGACTTGATCCAAGACTTGGGCAACAGGATTGTGCATGTGCACTTGCGCACTTTGTACATGTGAGCTGGTGCTGTACGCATCCTTTGACGGGAATAGACTTGAGTCTCAATGTGTCTTTGCTATCATCTGAATGAACGTCTAAGGGTGAAGGGGTAAAAGATTTTAAATGGATGGCTGTGGACTTCAAATACCTCAAGATCATCCGCTGCTGCTAATTTAAATATGTTGGTTTATTAAAGAAAAAAATTAAACGTCTCTTTTACACGTTTTTTGACTAATAATTTTCTCCCCCCCTAAAGAAGAAAGTGCCAAATCAAATGCAGTACTGCAAAACAACAGTTACACTGCTGTTTAAGCGTTTAGCGTTTATTTCTCATACTTTATTTGAAGTCAGCTCACATTTTCAAAATTTGTCACGATGCAAAGACGAGCATCTCTCCAACAGATAGTGTACAGATCAGTGGTTCTTAACCTTGTTTGAGGTAGTGAACCCAACCAGTTCATATGCACATTCACTGAACTTTTCATTCGTGAAAAACAAAGACTTTTTCAAATTCAAGACATAAAAAATGGATTTAACAGAAAAAAAGTAAATAAAATTTCAAGACACAAATTTTTTTTTTAATTTTAGGACGTGCTATCACGACAGTCACACGTTGATGACGAAGCAAACTAAATTTCCCACAGCACTGATTGGACAAGCAATGTAATGTGATCATCTGCAGCCAGCGATGGCCAAGTGGGCGTGTAATAACGAATTGACATGTTGAGTCGGGTGTGTCTTAACCTCCATGGCAGAGGCTCCGTCGAACCCCTGACACCAATTCACAGAAGCCCTACAGTTCGAGCACTGGTACAGACGTTGCAATTTCTGTTCTGCTACATCAGGTCTTGAGACCACAATCCTTTTGTTGCTGTAGTTTTAAGTCCAAATCCTAACAGATGTTCGACTGCCCCCCTAAAGCAAGTGGCTCTGTGCTGTTATGCTCATGCGCTGATCTCATGAATTTGTGACAGTGGTAAGTGTTCCAGCAGGTCTTTGGAATTAATACCGTATTTCATCATGTCAAAGTTTTGACTTACATCTTTACTAATATTAATGTAGTTGAAAATTATCTCAGGAAACCAAGATGCTGCGCTGATACCATTATAGACATTTACAGGGGGGATAGTTATCTTGTAGCCGTTTCTGTAGTTCTCTCTCTCTCTCTCTCTCTCTCTCTCTCTCTCTCTATATATATATATATTATAATCACTTAAATGATGCTAGTTGTCATCCAAATTTTACTAAAAGTCAATATGGTCTTCACGCTTCTGGCTTCTCATTGTTTTAAAAAAAAAAGGATTTTGATAAATTATGTGAGTACAGAGTGACTTTTGTGTGTGCGTGAGAACATTTTCATTAACTGGAGTACAGATGGGTACAATACAACTTTCAGTAAGATTTATGCATCTGCTCATTTCTATTAATACAAAATCAAATAAAAATAAAATGATTCTTAAAAGTAAATTAAACATGCTGAACCTCAATAATAAAATCAACTATCCAGCTGCCCTTCTGTCTTGACGTACATTAATCACTTCAATAAAGAAAAACATACCTAAACCTCATATAAGTTACAAGTGAAGCTAATCAGAGTGGTTGCCATATTTTATCAAACCTTGAGAGTTTATCAGAGAGAATGAATCTTATCCTTTCCAGGTGAGGTGTGTTCGTATGGTTTTTGAGACGGTGTGTCCTTTTTTCCAGTGCATCAGAAGCTGTTTCTTTGCTAAGAGGAGACCGTAAGACATAAAACACAGTTCTGCATGACTCAAATTCACAATACCATCAGGCAATCCAAAAATAATTGCCAAAGGTTCAGGTCTCGACTGAAGTTGAAGGATTTCAGACATTGTTTCAACATTTTCTGCATTTGGAGAGCATCTATGGACATGAACAACACAGTCTAAAATATTGAACGTTTATTGCACCTGCTTAAATGACGCAAAAAAAAAAAAACCTTGAGAGTTAAGAATAAAAATGTTATTTGGGGAGGTGGGGTAGTGCCAAATAGGTCCCTGTGACGCATATTAAGTTTTTGTCTTTCATGGCATTTCCCCCTTTTACTTCTACAATTTTACTTTAGAAAGAAGCTTTCAGTTGATAGTTCAACGTCTATTAAAATTAGAACACCTCTCGCCCAAATCAGCTCGGATAGGCTCCAGTTCACCAAAGCAGTAACCATTGCATATCTATAGATGGCGCTAATGCGCTATTAGAGTTTGCAAACAACCGTTCAACAAAAAGAACAAACCTCGTCGAGGCAAAAAAGCAGGAAGTGAATTCTTCTCTGCCGTCATTAGCTAAATAGGTTTGAGATGTACTGCTTGTTCATACTTTTTCCCCACTTATACCGAAGCCTGGATACTCTTTTCACTGGCCGCGAAACATGTGACGTGTTATTTATAAAGACACAAGAAGAAGTTTCTCTGGCTGCGAATTTGACTCAAGGCTTACCCTCCCGGTCACGGGCTTCGAACACATTTTAACGGAAGTCATTCGACAATTTGGGAGAGTATTGCTATTTGGAATACGTAATTCACTACAGCCCGACTCTTTAAATAAAAGCAGTGATCTTGTGTTGGGTTCGGGGCCTCCCCCTAGTGATTGCAATGTAAATGGAGCTCTTGCCGTGCTCAAAGCGTTTTCAGTCAGTTTTGACCGTCGGGCGGGAGCCGGAGCAGGTGTCGGCGAAATGCGGTCCGACGTCGAGTACAGCCCGGTGGGAGAGGGGCTGGGGATGCGGGACTTTTGGCTTTACGCTTGGATGCGGAGGGCGGCGGTGATAGCGGCTCATGTCACTGGCGTCAGCCTGACCATCATCATCGCCGTGCTGTCAAGACCCGGAACCAGTGAGTGGACCTCAACACGGTTCAGTCAATGACAGTCAATCCGGTTTTCCCAAATGCTACCCAAACGAAACGGAATGATAGCAGTCGTGTTTAAAATAATCCCCTATGTTTTCCATGTTATTGCTGGTCTGGTTTTATTACCTGTGTTCTACCTGTATGCACTTTAGATCTTGTTTAATGGCTTTGCAATCGGGTCTAAAGTCTCTAAGGAGTCATTGAAATGAGCATTTCTTTGTCCGATTACAGTTCCATTCAGGTGAACACGAAATGATTTGCTCCCCAGCCAAATTTTGAGTTAAAGTGATCATAGTTTATTTTTTGTCTTTTAACTGGTGAAACACAAGGAAGGAGCATCAACATGTTAAGAAGCATTATACGTGAATTCTACTGTCCGTTCCTTTTCAAGAAAATATGTGACCCTGTCATACCAACAAGGCGTCTTTTCCAGGGTCTTAACTGTGGTGAGAAAAGTCAGTCTGCGAACACAAGCAACTACAATAAGACACGCCAGAAATAAAATATTAATCTGTCCCTCGTAGTTTTCAACAAAGAGAGTGTCACTAAGATGATTAGAAGAAGTGTCCAATTCAACTCAGAACAGAATGAGAATTGAAAAATGCTCCCACGGATGCCTACATCAAAAGATCGGTGATTGGCTCATTTCGCTGTCAGTCAAAAAGAGATTCCGCCTCAGACAGATCATCCAATCATTATGCATAAACGCCCACTGTCCATAGACTCCCAGAGACGCTGAGCGTCCGATGGGCGGGACAAAAAGAGCATTTATCCAATGACTCGTCTCGTTTCAATGCATTGGGACAACTTACTCCGAACTCTCGAGACGCCCAACATCCGAGCTGTAGATGCTCAGCGTCCACACGGTTTAAAGCGCAGTGAAGCTGCGGGAATGAATGAGAAGAGGGTCGCGTCGTAACTAGTAATAAAAAGCTGATTCGGAACAAAAGTTGAGCGCGTTTTAGCGCATATGTAGTCAATGACATGTACACACAATTGTACACACATATATTTGGTAACTTATCTTTTGACATTTTAGGGTAAGCTGAGCTTCCCTTGCAGTTTTAAAGCAATCCCCTCTGATTATATGTCATGAAGATTTAACAATTTTAACGTATTCAACATTGCATTCAACAGACTATTTGAAAGATGAGTAAAGCAGAATTACAGGACATGGTTATCGCGAACGGCAAAAATCAGTCATATTCCTCTCTGACAATGAAAATAAAAGAAATGACCAAACATATACTTAATGATATCCTAATATGGTTGCTTGCAATCGAAACAAGGACACAATCACCACTATAATTAATTGTAAACACTACTCTCTGTCTTTCAGGTCTCTTTTCTTGGCATCCCTTATGTATGGCACTAGCGGTAAGTTCATGGTATACAGACTTAATAATACTGACAACACACACATTCTCTCATACAAGATATGATGTTTATCTTTGGTAGATTCATTTTTGGAGACAGGAAACTCTGACGTTAGCATAAGACAATCAACCATCACTGTCAACGGGAAAATGTAAATTGCTGCAAATCACATACTTGAAAAATGCCCAATATGAGTGAGCTATTTCTGCTGGGATAAAGTCGGCAAAGAAAGCTAGAAGGGGAATATTTTTAGAAGTGGATATTTTTATATCCACTTCTTTTTATATATTTGAATATAAATAGAAGTGGATATTTTTTTTTTTTTGTTATGTAGTCAGATGAGGGCAACAATGGTGTTTTTTTTTTTAATTCATTCGAAAAACAGTATATAAACAGCATCGTGTAGTTAAAATACAGAAAAAAGTTGTCCAGTTTGATATGACTTTTCCTGTCAGCGCTCAGCATAGGTTTGGCCCTGCAGTCTTTGTTTCCATCTTGCGCTCCACTCTGAATAATAGATCAGGTGTTAACCTACTGACTTTGTTGAATTAGCGATGCAATATTATGTTACAAAGTGACTTAGACTAATAGGTCGAGCGTCTATAAATACAGTTGAGTTGAGTATACATTACAGTGCAATGAATTCACGTCCTGTTTTGCTTTTGAGTTGAAACTTCCTACTAACAGGTGGGAAGTCCGACCCATGACAGAAATGTCCTGCAATCCTCCACCTGTTCGCTTTTTTCTGCAGCGCTGCAAGAATACTGTAGTCCCAAAATGTTGTTTCAAACGCAATATATAAATCAAAATATCGTGTTCACACTCGTAGGGGCGTATAGAACATATTGTGAATATTTCTCTTTTTTACTTGACGTCTCCCGAAAACATGATAAAAATGTCTCCACCCTTTGCATCTCATAAATAGAAGAGGAACTAGTATGCATACCCTTGCATTTTAACAAATGTTGATATTTTCCACTGCCGTAACGTTTCGAAAAGCTAGAAGAGGTGTGCCACACTGCATGTTTTCGATGTGTCGCTCCTTCAACACACCTGATTGAAATGATCAGAATCATTTTCCGGCTTCTTCACCGCTTGCTGATCATTTGAATCAGGTGTGTTGCAAGAGGGACACATCAAAAACAGGCAGGATGGTGACCTTCGAGGACCCGAGCTGGACAAGGCCGGAGCTTTTAAAAGTGTCGAAATGTGGTTTGGTCAAAAGTGGATGAATCCTGCATTTGACTAATTCCTCCCTTTGCTCCTCCTTCTCTTAGTATTGCTTGTGTATGACAGAAGGCATCCTCATCTTCTCACCCGAATTGTCCCTCTTCTGCTTCAAGTCCCGGAAGTGGAAAGTCCGCCTGCACTGGTTCTGTCAGACTCTGGCCCTGATCGTTGCAGCGACGGGCCTCGGCTTCATCGTGGCCAGCAAGAATCTGTCCGAGAGTCGCCACCTGGCCACCTGGCACAGCCGCCTTGGCATCTGCACCTTGGCCGCCTCCGCGCTTCAAGCCGCGTGCGGCGTCTGCGTCATCTACCCCAAGCTGCTGTGTCTCTCCACGCCCCCGCCCAGGTTGAAGCTATACCACGGCACATGCGGCCTGGTGGTCTACCTGCTGGCCACATTGACAATAATGGCGGCGATGCTCTCTGACTGGTATCAGGCCATGGTCAAGGGGCCGGTGTGGTGGGCCATCTTCTTGCTGCCAGTCTTTCCTGCTCTGGTGGTGATGAACCAGATAACTAATGGTTACTTGCCTCGTAAGAAGATCAGCAGCTAAGGCGGAAAAACTTGAGTGATTTGTATTCACAAGAGCCTGATGGATGTGATCAGTCATGAAAGCAGCTGCAGGAGGGATCAGCTCTGTGACTGGTCCACGATGTAGACTGCCACTCATCCTCATTTAGCAGGGATAGACTGGTCGTGACCGGGAGGTGTTTCAAAAATGGGTGGCCTCCACATTGAAGATTTAATCAACAATACATTCCAATTTTACATTCAAATAACTGCTGTTGTGTGTATTATTGTTTTTGAGAGGTTTTTTTTAGAGTGTGTGAGGATGTAAACAACCCCCCCCCACCCCAAATCATAGACTTCTTTTTCAGCATTTATTTTTGTATCGTTTATTTCCATTGTGCTTGAATTAACATTTAGGTTGAACACATGCCATTTTCAACTTTAAGTGAGTTAAAGAAATGACCCCAATGACAGCGACAAAACTACAAAGTGACAGCATTGCTTATTGGCATTTCACATTGAATTTTTCTTCGGCTGTGTTATGCGACTGCTGCATACAAAACCAATTCTAATGAAGTTTGGACATTATTTTAAACATAAATAAAAACAATACAATGACTTGCAAATCATGTTCAATTGAATAAATGACAAAGACAAGATTGTTAATAGCGTCCGTTGTTGTGTTTTACGCTTCATAATGTGTCTCACATTTTCAATGGAAGACAGGTCTGGACTGCAGGCAGGCCAGTCTCGTAACGGCACTTTTTTACTACGAAGCCACGCTGTTGCAACCCATGTAAAATGTGATTTGGTGTTGTCTTGCTGAAATAAGCGGGGGTGTCCATGAAAAAGACGTTTGGATGGCAGCCTATGTTTCTCCAAAACCTGTACGTATTTCAGCGTTAATGGTGCCTTTACAGATGTGAAAGTTACACATGCCAGTGGCACTAACACAGCCCCATACAATCACAGATGCTGTCTTTTGAACTTTGTGACCATAACAGTCCGGATGGTTTTTTCATCTTTGGTCCGGAGGACACAAGTCGAGAATTTCTCAAAACAATTTGAAATGTGCTAAACTGCGATTCTTGAATATATTTTAGCATGATGACATTCATCTTGTCTACTTATGGCGAAACTAGGTTTAACCCTTTCATGCACCTTGTAACCTGATATGGTAAGCTCTCAGTCCTATATAGAAAACAAGACTTATTTACTACATGCGGGAAAAGAAAAAAATCAGACATCTTCAAAGTACGAGTCCAGATCTTATGACATCTCGGCCGAATCCTGCGATGCATTTGTGTTGGCTGGAGCTGCTGTCCACTGTAGTAACCACTGTCCCTCAAAGTGTTAGGGTTTTTTTCCAGACATTTTTTTGGCCCTCTCATAGGACTTAATTGGCATAAATTAGGTGTTCATCAGTGCAAACAAAACCAGTAGCAGTTGGCATGGAGAATGGAGTCTGTTGATAGATTATTCAAAAAAAAAATCATCTCAGGTGTTCCAGAGAATTTATTACCTTGCACAAAGAAATGTTCTGAAACAAAAGACATGGTTGAAAAAAAAGGGCTATTGCTAAACACAAATTATTTACAAAACATGAATCCACCTTATTCCTGAGGGTTTTCATGGGGAACCGATTGAGCAACTGCCGGGAAGAGACTTCTGTTATGATCATAAGCCACCACTGCATTGAAAAATATCTTGCACGGCTTGGGAACTTGTTGCACTGTTGCCGGTTGGACAAACAAGCAGAAGTTGAATCTGTGACTACAAGAGCCATGTTTTGAACTGATTTCAGTTTTATGACAGTGAGCTGCGTGAAGCCTGTTGACATTCTATGTGGAAGACCCTTTTGACTTCAAGCCATATTGACTAACCTCAGTTATACCGTATTGGCCCGAATATAAGATGGCCCTGATTATAAGACGACCACCTCTTTTTCAAGATTCAAGTTTGAAAAAAGACTTTTTGACACCAAATTAATTTTTATACAGAAAATAATTACAGTACATCTGAAACAAATGATTATCACAATATATTTGAGAGAAAAAGCATGTTGTTTTGCCTCATTCAAATCTTAATATCTGAAGATTTAAATATGTAAACTAAAGTGCAATCACATTCGTAACTGAATGGCTTCTGGTTTTTGAAAAGTAAATTACATCATAACTTCTCCTCAGCTGCCGGTTAACCTGGCCGATCTTTGACCCACTTTTCTCCAGATCGTCACTACATTTCTCCATTTTCTGTTATCTCTTCTATTATT